CATTTCCGCGCAACTCCAAGAGTCGTGGCGAACTGCGAACATCTCTGAATGTCGCAGGGAGTGTTCCGCCAAAACTGACGTGTTCGCGAGGTCGAGGTCGTTTGCCCCCGTGAAAAAATCGGCTCCGTCGATGCAATCCATCGAACGGTTGGCGAGGCATCTCGCCTTCAAAGGGGACCCCGTGTGCAACTGCGCGATGTTACTAGCAACTTAATATGAAAGAGCACTGCACTTACAGGAACTGAAGTCTCGACTCCATCCTCGGCGTGCTCCTGGGGGTCCAGCGGTTAAGCGTTGAGCTGAAACCTTCGCTGCAACTTCCAAGTGTCATAGGAACGAATGTCTCGAAGAAAGGATAGCTCAATCTTGCACTATCAATCAGTACAAGGTGCTTTAATACTACCCGAGTATATCAGGTATCCAGGTTTATCCTATCCAAAGGGAATAGACCCTTCTAGAAATAGAATCACCATGCGTATAGCCACGCAAGGGTATTGGCTTTAAGGGATTACGGCAGGATTACGCTAGATATAGCACACTAGTACACCCCGAGCTTGGTCGGTGATACAGTATAATCATAATAACAGAATAAACCAAAGGATAATAGAAAAGGAGGAATAGGAAACCAAATGAGATGAGATAAAGACCAAATGAATCAGGAGTGAAAGAGGAATGAAATAGAAAGGAAATATGGAAAGGGGAAATTAGTGTAACGGGGTCGTACTCTCACGTCATTGATCCTGCTGTATTCGACCAGGCGTCATTATGGCCGGATATCGCGGCAGAGGAAGAGGAGGAGGATGACGAGATTGAGGACATTCTGCCACCTACACCGATTTTGACTCCTCAACCCAATCCTCATTCTGCTGTAGTTCCTCCAGCCCCTGTAGCTGCTGGTGCCAGTTCTTCAGCCGACAACCTGTCCGCGGAGGTGTCTGCAGGTTTCCATTTGTCGAAGAGCTAGACGTGCCCTCTGCCTTACCAAGGATGCCCTCTTCTTCTGCGTCATCCTCTGGTGAGGAGGGGAGTGAGGTGCCTCTTGGTGTCATCACTGACGAACAGCGCACGGAAGAGCGGCAAAAGAGTGTTGCAGACGAAGTCCTGACAGAAGACTTGTTTGCAGGGGAGTGATTGGCAGAGGAGCTATCGGCAGAGGAGCAGTCTGCAGAGGAGCTGTGTATAGAAGAACCACCTGCGGAGCAACCTGTTCTGCGGCGATCGACGCACTCCAACAAGGGTGTTCCGCCAGTTCGTTACCGCGTGGCATTGACGGTGTTCTTGATGAACGTCCTCGATGGCAGAGACGAAGACGTAGCACTCAAGGAGCTTGACTCGGCAGAAGATCGTCTCGAAGATCCAGAACGTCGCTGGGACATATCGAAGGTGCCTGTCCCAGTCGCTCTAAAGAGTTGGAAGGGCCCTACAGTAGAGGCAGCGATGGACAATGAGATGCATACTCTGTGGGACCAGGAAACTTGGGATTTGGTTTTCCCACCTCCTGGCGTCAATGTGTTGGAAAATCGTTGGGTTCTCGCTACCTAGTATCTTCCTGACGATATGGTATAGAGAGAGAAAGGACGTCTTGTCATTTAGGGGTTCACACTGCTGCCCAATCTGGACTACGACCTAACGTACGCTCCTGTCAGCAGCTATGTAACTGCTCTTCTACAACTACATATCGCTGCGACATTTGGCTGGGAGCTGACGCAGCTCGACATGACGAATGCCTTTCTGAATGCACCCATCGATCGTCCTCTCTACATGAAGCAGCCAAAGTACTACAATGACGGCACTGGCAGAGTTTGCCTGCTGAAGAAGTGTCTCTACGGACTCAAGCGGAGTCCAAAGCTGTGGTAAGAATTTCTCGACCAGAATTTGCAGAGCGGAGGCAGGTCGAAGAGTCGGGTCGACGAAGCTTTCTACTTTCACGTGGACGAGCATGGCGATAAGTACTATTTGCTCGCCTACGTCGATGATCTGCTAGCTACACGTCGGCGCAAGGCACATTTGGCAGAGTAGAATGCTCTGCTAAAAATGAATGTAGGCTTCGAGAGATCAGCCCTATGCAACTGTACCTGGCGCTGGAGCTGATCAGGGAAAGAGCTGCTCGGAAGATTTGGGTGCACCAGCGAGGCTACATCGACAAATTGCAGAGGTGTTCTCTGCCAGAGGGGCCTCCTCGACGAAGCCTGAAAACGCCGATTTATGTCGATGCATTCAAAGAGCTGACGTTCGATGATGCAGAGCTGCAGGGGCGCACCAAGGAAGAGTACTAGCAGAGAGTGGGATCTCTGCAGTTCGCCGCCTGCACGACACGTCTGGACATTGCTCCTTGCCGCCGTGGCGGCCGTGCCGAGCTGCCATGGCAGCTTCGTGGTGCTGCCGTCGCATCACCGACGAGCTGCCGTGCCGAGATGCCACGCTGTGGCGATGTCGTCGTACTGCCGTGGCAGCGTCGACGTGCCGCCGCGGCATCGACGTCGCGCTGTGGCGGCGTCGTCATGCTTATGTGGCGGCGTCGACGGGCGGCAGCGGGCCGCACGTTGTTTTAGGCACCGCCGGGGGTGGCACCGCCTCGCACGAGGGATAGCAGCCTCTCCTGCTGTAGGACCTGTAGGGGTGCACGGGCTTGGGGGTGTTGGGTGTTTGGTGGGCTTGAGACTACCAAGCCTAGGGGGTGTGTTAAATTATATAGCTTATATATAATTGTAGGCTTGGTAGGTGTTACTGAAACCTACTTTAGAGGGTACAACCCCCTCCTTGTATCCCTCTCTTCTAATCTCACTCTCTTTTCTCTCCTAGCTAAACCCTCACGCCATTCTCATGGCTTCCTTCTCCCCTAGCTAGCTTTAACAGGAATTGCCCATCTTGACGGATTTCGTCTAGGAATCGCGTCGTGTCCTGAGCCTTGCTAGAGTCCACCGATTGGATCCAGGGTGATGTCAGCGTCTATTGCGGATCATATGGATGATTTTCGCATCAATGCGTCGGGTGAGTGGTGTTGTGCGAGTCGTTCAGCTCGCCGACCACTGGCATGCGTTGACCATATTTCCACAAATGATCGCCTATGCGACTTTTATTCCGTACGCGTATACAATTAGGAAAATACATCGGCGCTCAGTATTAGGGGCCTCGATAATATGTACGGTCAGTGACGCAATATAAACAATCAGAATTAGCGAGTTCGCAACATGTTTCATCAGTCGGGTTCCACTGTTAGTCAGAAACTGTAGGAAAAAAGTTCCACGAATGGTCAGTAGAAGTAACCCCCGCCCGTCTAGGAACGTTTTCCCGCTCGCGCCAGCCCAATTTCGTCATCATTGTGGCAGGCGTGAAATTTCTCTCCAGCTCCAGGCGTAGTTCGAGCGAAAAAACGTAATATATTTAAATCTAATTTTATTTGACACAAGCTATTCGAGAAACAAGAAAATACGATTTTGTTTCGAAACACATACTTTCGTCGTAGAGTGTAGTGCGTTCCGTGAAGCTTAAGAATGGCGGTTTTGTCTCTACCGCATTTACGCCCCCCCCCCCCCCCCCCCCCCCCCCCCCCCCCCAAAAAGTCAAGCCTTAAACTTATCGTCATTCCCGAAACGCTTGAAAGAAAAACATATAAAGAAAACTATGGAAATTTATTTTGGGAAATGAATATGTTTAAAAGTGCATCAAAGTACACTCATAGCTACACAAATTTTTGTATTCACTTAAGTACAACAAATATTTTAGATTTCTGCCGGCTGTGGTTATAAAATTTCCCACAAATGAGTTTACTGCAAAAAAAATTCCTGCTAATTCACGACTCTACAAGTTACGTCATGCTCGAAAAAAATTACCGCATGCGCGGCACAGTAGAATATTGATGCCTCACTGGCTTAGCACGGATCCCGGATAGATTTGCCCTTGTGTGTCAAATATTTTTTTGTTGTGTGCGCATGTGTTAATGTTTGAACAATGTCGCACCCGATGTGCGGCCCACTGTGGCCCGATTAGCTTATATGACAGAAATGTGCAAAATCTCAATTTTGGAATTTTGTGTGCGCGACGTTCAAAGAATGTTTATTTTGGTTATATTTTTCGTAGTTCTCTCGAACTGCGCCTGGAGCTGGGGAGAAATTTCGCGCCTGCCACAATGATGACGAAATTGGGCTGGCGCGAGCGGGAAAACGTTCCTAGACGGGCGGGGGTTACTTCTACTGACCATTCGTGGAACTTTTTTCCTACAGTTTCTGACTAACCGTGGAGCCCGACTGATGAAACATGTTGCGAACTCGCTAATTCTGATTGTTTATATTGCGTCACTGACCGTACATATTATCGAGGCCCCTTATACTGAGCGCCGATGTACTTTCCCTATACAATTGGTGGAACACCGGTCAGGCTGCGTACGTAAGAGTTGCGCATACCGAATCATTGCCCTGTGCGAATGTTTGCCTGAGGGGTGTATGAAGTTAAAAGGCATGCCCGATTAGCTATTTTGACGTCACTCGGCGACGTGTGCGCGACGTCAATTTTGCCTATTCCGAGGGCTACACAAGCACATTGAACAATGACGATATGCGAAAAATGCTGGAAACGTTTTTTTGGGTGGTAGAACCGAAGCGCGATGCAGCCAAAAGTTTGCCTAAAAAACTGAAGTAACGCGCGCAGCTAGCGAGGGATGCACATCGCATTCGTTTTTGGACCACACTGCGCAATTGGCACTCCACTTGCGAAGTCCCTCTCTCGCGAGCTGGTTCGTGCTTTCGCTTCAAGTTTGGTTTTGTTTTTTCAGCCCCTGCCCACGGGCATTGCTGTGGGCAGCGCAAAATGAGCTGGGATGTCAGCTCGGATGCGTCGTATTTTCCGCTGAACACTGACAGAGCGTCTACAGTTGTTGTTACATGGGGTAACCACACTAAACCGTCGCTGACGTCCCGGGACGTCATTCTTGGTTTGACTTCATACACCCCCTAGGGGTCGTTGCACTTATGGAGTCTGACCTGTAAATCACCTCAAGGGTTAACTCTCACATACCCTTTCCACCCCCACTCTCTCTGACTCTCTTTCTCACTCACTCTCCTATTCCGCCACGCAGCGCGCTTCTAGCTTGAAACCGAGAGTTTTTAAGCTTAGAACCTCTCGTCACACATTACTCTCGTCACCACCGCACAGCTCTTTCCCTCTGTTCTCCTAACTGAAACTCGTCAAGTTCGGACGGTTGTCGTATTTTCATCTTCCTCCACTCGTCCACCTTGATAGCACCCGACCAAGCCGTGGCCGTGGGCCGTCCCTTCCCCAGCGCCCTCGAGCGCCTCTCGAGCTCGTCGTCCCGTACAGCGGAGCGCGCTCCCCCTCGTCCTCTCCGAGCCCCTCCGCTTTGCCCCTCATCCCCCTTCCATTTCGCCCCCCCTCCCCCTCCTCCGCCTTTTCCCTCTTCCCCCTCCTCCGCTTTCGCCCATCTTCCCCGTTCGTTTTCCCCCTCGTTCCCTTCCCCGTCCCCTCTCTCTACTTCCCCGTCTCCCCTCCCTCCGTCGTAACCCCGCTGGTTTCCCCCGTCGTTTTCCCCTCACTTTCCCCCCCCAGTTTTCCCTCCGCGCCCTTCCGTCCCCCTCCATTTTTCCCATCTCTTCCCCTTCCGTTTCCCGCTACCTCCCGTTTGTTTCTCCCCTTCTCGTCCACCTCGTTCTCCCATCTCTCCTCCACTCCGTTTTCCCCCCTCTTCCTCTCCACTGTGCCCCCATCTCCCCCCTCCTTCCGCCCTCACCCCCCCTCCAGTTTCCTTTCCATCCTCCACATTTCCCCTCTCGTCTCGCTTTCCCGCTTCTCCCTCTCTCCGTTTCCCCCCCGTCCTCTCCACTTTCCCCTTGTTCCCCCCCTCCTTTTGTTATCCCCTTTCCAAATGGCGGGTGGCTCTGTCGCAGAGCGTCCTGCGTGCGATGGCGGCGAGGGCGAACGACGCCAGCGAATCAAAGCAGTCGCATCGTGTGAAGTGCGACGGCCTTTAGTGGGCGAAGCGGCGGAGTGCGACGAGAGCGTCGTGGCGGGCCGGCAACGGGCTGAGCAGCGTGCGGCGAAGGACACGACGCAGGGGGAGGCTGGGGAGTTGGGCGTTGAAGGAATGGGCGCGAACGGTGGAGGGGATCGGGTGGGGGAGAGTGGAGGGGTGGGGCGGCCTGAAGGGGAGAGAGGGTTGCGAGAGGCGTCGATGGGTGGCGCGGAGGGGGGGGAAGAGAAGCGGGCGCAGGGGGAAACGGGGCAGGGGGAGGGGGAGGGCGCGAAGGCGGAGGTTGCGGGTGGCAGTGGCGGAGGGGAGGGGGAAGGTGATCATTCGCGGCGAGTGAAGGCCGCTTTTATATACGGCAATTACAAGCATTATTACGGATACAGGGTATGGCTGCAGAGAATGGTTGTAAGTTTAGGCACTTGGCTAGGGCTGGAGGGGTGAATGTAGGGCCGTGGGCCGTGGCGTGACAACCCTGGATGGTAGAGAAAAAAGGGCTGAAGCCTAAAACCTAAAATCGGAAGCCTTGACCCCTGACTAAACCCTAACCCCGAACCCGAAAGCTCAAACCCGTAAAGTACCCTAAACCGCTGAACCGAAGGCTGTAAACTGTGAAGCTAGGTGGTTTGTGGCGCTAATGCTGTGTGGCGGTGGCGTGGATGGTGGAGGAGTGGGAAGGAAGGAAGACATGGCTGGGAGGGGGGCAAGGGGATGGGGTGCCGATTAGGAGGGGGTAAGAGAACCCGAGGCGAGGAGGGGGTAAGAGAACCCGAGGCGAGGAGGGGGTAAGAGAACCCGAGGCGAGGAGGGGGTAAGAGAACCGAGGCGAGGAGGGGGTAAGAGAACCCGAGGCGAGGAGGGGGTAAGAGAACCCGAGGCGAGGAGGGGGTAAGAGAGAGAGGGTAAGAGAACCCGAGGCGAGGAGGGGGTAAGAGAACCCGAGGCGAGGAGGGGGTAAGAGAACCCGAGGCGAGGAGGGGGTAAGAGAACCCGAGGCGAGGAGGGGGTAAGAGAACCCGAGGCGAGGAGGGGGTAAGAGAACCCGAGGCGAGGAGGGGGTAAGAGAACCCGAGGCGAGGAGGGGGTAAGAGAACCCGAGGCGAGGAGGGGGTAAGAGAACCCGAGGCGAGGAGGGGTAAGAGAACCCGAGGCGAGGAGGGGGTAAGAGAACCCGAGGCGAGGAGGGGGTAAGAGAACCCGAGGCGAGGAGGGGGTAAGAGAACCCGAGGCGAGGAGGGGGTAAGAGAACCCGAGGCGAGGAGGGGGTAAGAGAACCCGAGGCGAGGAGGGGGTAAGAGAACCCGAGGCGAGGAGGGGGTAAGAGAACCCGAGGCGAGGAGGGGGTAAGAGAACCCGAGGCGAGGAGGGGGTAAGAGAACCCGAGGCGAGGAGGGGGTAAGAGAACCCGAGGCGAGGAGGGGGTAAGAGAACCCGAGGCGAGGAGGGGGTAAGAGAACCCGAGGCGAGGAGGGGGTAAGAGAACCCGAGGCGAGGAGGGGTAAGAGAACCCGAGGCGAGGAGGGGGTAAGAGAACCCGAGGCGAGGAGGGGGTAAGAGGGGAGGGGGGTAAGAGAACCCGAGGCGAGGAGGGGGTAAGAGAACCCGAGGCGAGGAGGGGGTAAGAGAACCCGAGGCGAGGAGGGGGTAAGAGAACCCGAGGCGAGGAGGGGGTAAGAGAACCCGAGGCGAGGAGGGGGTAAGAGAACCCGAGGCGAGGAGGTGTGGCGCAGAAGGCCACGGCCTGAGAGTGTGCGCGCGCCTGTGCTCGCTCACTTCTCTCATGCTCCCTCTTCGCCCTGCCTCCGGGCCTATCACCTATCATCCAGCCTCTCGCCTATCATCATATCACCTTATCCTCCAAACGATCACCTTTCCATTCCGCCCAGCTGGCGTGGTCATCCATGGAGTGTCATGTCAGCGCTCCACTCGCCCTCTCACATCCCTCAAATCTCTCGCAATGCCTCCAGTTTCTTCCCGTGCCCACTGCCACTGCTCCTGCTGCCAGCCCTGCCGCCCTCTTCCTTTGGAATTGCGCCTCCTGTCAATTGCCTACTCCTACTCCCCCCCTCCCCCCCTCCCCCCTCCACCTCCTCCCACGCCATCCCAAGTGGGAGAAGCGTTGTTGGAGGAACCCCGGGTGGGCGGTTCAGGAGAGAGCGCTATGACTGCGACTCCTTCCCCCTTTCCCCGCCCCCGCACCACCACCATCCCAGGTGGGAGCGGCGTTTTCAGAGGACCCACGGGTGCGGTGGTTTCGGCGGGAGTGGTTTGAGGGGCGGGACTGCGTGGACGTGGGGTGCAACTCGGGGTTCATCTCCATCGGCCTCGGTGAGCGCGACACTGCGTCGTGTGCCCTCTCCCACCCCGTCTGCCTACCTGTGATCTGATCTGTGGCCCAATCGCTGGGTCGCATGCGCCCGACATACACTTTCTCCCACGTCCTCCCCACCCCTGCTTCCCTCCAATTCCCCTCCCTCCCCCCCACTCCCTGTCTCCCTCAGCCAGCGCCCTCTCCCCTCCCTCCCCTTTTCCTGTCCTCTCAATCCTGATATCTGTGCTCTCAGTGTTTCCTCCCTCCCCCCGTTCCTCCCCTGTGCGGCGTGTGAAGCTCAGTGAGGCATTTCAGCGTGAAGTCAATGCTTGGCATCGACATCGACAAAGGTCCGTGCACTGCTGCTCGTTGTGCTGTGCGTGTCTCTGCTGTCTTCACCTCACGGTGTAGTTTTGCAGGCCGCAGGCGTTTGGCTATGCCTTGCAACCAGTTTGCGTACTTCCTCACCATGTGGCCGTCGCCCTTCTCCCCGTGGCAGATCTGATCAAGGAGGCGAGGAGGCAGTGGGGCAGCGTTGTGAGGGAGGAGAAAGAGAAGGAGCGGGGGGAGGGGGGGAAGGAGGGAGGACAAGAGGTTAAGGGGAACAGGGGCGAGAAAAGGGAGAGGCAAACGGATGGGGGTGTGGGGTGGAATGAGGTGGGTGGTGCTGGCGGGGCTTCTAGTGGCCTGGGCGCGGCTCCGCAAGGCAGTGGAGGGATGGCAGCCGCTGCGGGCAGAGCTGTGGAGGAGGCAGCAGCGGCAGCGGCGCAGGCAGTGGGGGCGGCACGGGGAGCGGGTGGGCGGCCGCGAGTGGTGTTCAGGTGCCTCAACGTGGTGGAGGCGGACATGCCGCGTGACAGTGCTGACACTGTGCTCTGGTGAGCTGACACTGTGCTCTGGAGAGCTGACACCATGCTCTGGTGAGCTGACACCGTTCCCTGGTGAGCTGACACTGTGCTCTGGAGAGCTGACACCATGCTTTGGTGAGCTGACACCATGCTCTGGTGAGCTGACACCGTGCTCTGGTGAGCTGATACCGTGCTCTGGTGAGCTGACACCGTGCTCTGGTGAGCTGACACCGTGCTCTGGTGAGCTGACACCGTGCTCTGGTGAGCTGACACCGTGCTCTGGTGAGCTGACACCGTGCTCTGGTGAGCTGACACCGTGCTCTGGTGAGCTGACACCGTGCTCTGGTGAGCTGACACCGTGCTCTGGTGAGCTGACACCGTGCTCTGGTGAGCTGACACCGTGCTCTGGTGAGCTGACACCGTGCTCTGGTGAGCTGACACCGTGCTCTGGTGAGCTGACACTGTGCTCTGGTGAGGTGGCACCTCGGCTCATGCGTGCTCTGGTGCGCTGTCACCTCGCCTCATGCCTGCTCCTGCCATGCGTGCATGTGCCATGCGTGCATGGGCTGTGCGTGCATGCGATGCTGGGTCCTTGCATGACATGACAGTGGGTATGGGTTCATTCTCGGTGGTGTGAGAGGGACAATAGCTGTGCTCACATTCTCATGCGAGATGCCACTCTCCCCTTCGCCCCTCTCTCCTGTCTGCCCTCTTTCCCCTCTGCCCCTCTTTCCCCTCTGCCCTCTGCTGCTCTCCTCTCTTCCCGGTCCTCCCCTGTCCGATTTCTTCACCCCACTGCGTGCCAGTCTGAGTGTGACCAAGTGGGTGCATCTCAACTGGGGCGATGCGGGCCTCATCGCGCTCTTCGCCAATCTCTTCCACATGCTCCGCCCCGTGCGTCCCTCTCCCTGCCTCACACCCCTGCGCCTCACCACCGCCTCTCAGTCCCATTCGTCCCTCTCGCTGCTACACTTGTCCCCCTCTCCCTGCCCCACACGTCCCCCTCTCCCTGCCGTCACCTGTCCGCACACATTGTGTCTCAAGTCTTGCACACCCAGCGATGCTGAAAGGCTCTTTCTGGCTTTGTGCTGCCTGCCTCGCTCTGTGGGTGTGACACCACGTACTGTGCAGCAGCGAGTGCTCTTCGTGTGATTACGCCATTTGCCGCACATTCTCTCTGCTCGCTTCCTGTACCCCTCTCTCTCTCACTTACTCTGGCTGTCCTCCCTTCCTCCCCCAACCCCCCTGTTGTCCTTTTTCTGTGCGCACCCGCTCCCTGCCCTACAACGGCGCGGCCGTCTCTCGGCCATCCTCAGGGGGGGGTTCTCATTCTGGAGCCGCAGCCGTGGAGCTCGTACAAGAAGAAGCACGGACTCACTAAGGTGCATGGCATGCTCCACTCACATGCATGGCATGCTCCACTCACATGCATGGCATGCTCCACTCACTTGCATGGCATGCTCCACTCACATGCATGGCATGCTCCACTCACATGCATGGCATGCTCCACTGAGATGCCTGGCATGGCATGTCTAAGGCGCATGTCATGGCACGGTATGACGACGGTGCGTGGCAGCATAGACCTGAAGAACCGAATACGAATTCGAGTTCGAGTTCCACATTCGAATAATTGTCGAATATCACGATACAAATTTTTTGTTCGAGTTGTGTTTGGAATTCGAATACGAATTCGAGTCGAATAGAGTCGAGTCCGAGTCGAATACGAATGCACTCGAGTTTTGGGCATATGAGCGTTTCAAGCTTTGTGAAGTTACCCTTGGAGTTTGTTGTCGGTTTTTTGGGCGTTGCCGTGCTTGCAGGTTTGCACAAGAAATTGGAGGGGTTGTACAAATGGCAAGTGAAGCTTTTTAGCAGCATCGCGTAGCATCGAAACCATTAGGACCTTTGATGCTAGGCAATTAAATGCTAGTAGGAGCCAGGTATGTCCAAACTCGAGTACTAAAACGAGTACTCGAGTTCTGGCTGGGCGAATACGAATTCGAGTCGAATATTGGAAGTCGAGTTTTGGCGAGTTTGAACAGCCACATAGACTCGATTTGTATTTGAAATTCGTCCGAATTCGAATACAAATTCGAATATAGTCTACTCGTTTTCAGGTCTATGGCAGCATGTGGTTCTCACATGCACGGGACACCTGGTCTCCTTCCCAGCGCGACGTGTCGCCATGCACACATGCTGGCGATTGCGTTACGTACCCGCTTTCACTCCTTTTTTTTGCTTAAAAATCTCGTGCCCCCCACTGCTTGTTCCCCCCACTGCTGGTGTCGTTATGCCTGCACTCCCTCAACATCCACTCTCTCACGCGCCCATGGCCCTGTGGCCCCCACCAGGAGAGCAGGGAGCACTACAGCAGCATCAAGATCTTCCCTGCTCACTTCCGACAGCTGCTGCTCGACAAGGTGGGTGCAGCCAGACAAGGTGGGTGCAGCCAGACAAGGTGTGTGCTGCCAGACAAGGCGGGTGCTGCCAGACAAGGTGGGTGCTGCCAGACAAGGTGGGTGCTGCCAGACAAGGTGGGTGCAGCCAGACAAGGTAGGTGCTGCCAGACAAGGTGGGTGCTGCCAGACAAGGTGGGTGCTGCCAGACAAGGTGGGTGCTGCCAGACAAGGTGGGTGCTGCCAGACAAGGTCGGTGCTGCCAGACAAGGTCGGTGCTGCCAGACAAGGTCGGTGCTGCCAGACAAGGTGGGTGCTGCCAGACAAGGTGGGTGCTGCCAGACAAGGTGGGTGCAGCCAGACAAGGTGGGTGCTGCCAGACAAGGTGGGTGCTGCCAGACAAGGTGGGTGCTGCCAGACAAGGTGGGTGCTGCCAGACAAGGTGGGTGCTGCCAGACAAGGACAAGGTGAGTGTGTGCGTGCGTGCTCTCACACCCAGTGCACGTGTGGAGGTGCCTGCTGCCTGCACCTGGGCTATTCGCTGTCTTGTAGCTTGCTGTAAGGCGCTTATCCGTGTAGCTTGTTGAGTTTTACTCTTTGCTGCCAATTTCTCACTGTATCACGCTCCTTGCACTGCCACCCGCTCTCAGTCGGAGCCTTAGTTGCTACAAACGCTCTGGGAGACAAGCGTTTGGCGTTCAAACGCTTGCGTTTGAACGCAAACGCCAAACGCGCCCAAAAACGCAAACGCTCTCTGGGATTTTTTTCGGGCTGCCCCCCCAAAAAAAACACGAGATTGTCGTTGGAGAATAGCCTTAAGGATAGGTGATTTACATGACATATGAGGATGCTGGCTTAAATGTTAAGCACGGTTCTTTTTTATGAGACAAAAAGCTTGCTGGTAGAACCCCCATGTTTCCCCCCTCCCCCACAGGAATCTTGAACCCCTGCCCGGGTAAAAATTTTACCCCTGCCCGGGCAAGCGTTTGCCTAGCGTTCACATACACGCTGCTGAGCATTTAGCGTTCAAACGCCAAACGCGTTTGTAGCAACTAAGGTCGGAGCAAGGGGTTTCAGCAGTGGCTGCATTCACTCAGCCTCTTCTTGCACTCTCCCCATCGCGCTTGCTGTCTGTCGTTCCGTCCTCCCCCCCCTGCTGCATGGTGTGCAGATCGGCTTCCAGCGGGTGGAGGAGCTCACTGCTGCTGTTCCCACTGCGCGCGGCTTTGACCGGCCCTTGTTTGTTTACTACAAGTAGGGCACTCAAGCACTGCACCACGCACTTTAGCGAGAGGCCAAATAGTGGAGGCGGGCCCAACTCGAATGGGTGTTGTTTCCAGCGTGCCTGCAAGTACTCTTGTCATTACAACAATGAACAAAAGAATGTACGGTAGCGACGAGCACCAGCTGTCTGCTCTCATGCGCCCTTGCTCTCTCAACGGGCAACGACTCTGACCCGAATGCGTGTGACCAGTGAGTATGGACGAGAGGCGCTCAAAGAGGGTCCTGCGGCACAATGTAACAAATGAAAGGTTGCTTTGCAAGTCATTTCCTCTTAAATCCGAAAAGAAAGCGTGGGTGACTGACGGAATAAGGTGCGGGAAAACTATGGGCGAAAAGGAAGGATCAAAGGAAAGGAAGGCAAGAGAGAAGGGGCAGGAGGAGACGGTAATCCTCAGCATATGAGTGCAGGTTGCCACAACTGCTCCAAGACAGGAGGGAGAGGAGGGAGAGGAGAATATGCCTTTTTAGAATCCTAAAGAACCATGATCGCAGGGACAGGAAGAGACGCTGCTGTCCCCACCTCCCTCCCGATGCTCGCCATGTGAGGGCTTGCTGCAGCGACAGCTTCATCAACCGCGGCACCACCACCCCTCGGAAGAAGCCAGGCCAACCTTGCGACTGGAGAGGGAAGAGAGAGAGGGGAGTGAGCGAGTGCGCACGATGCATCTGCCACCTGACTCTTCTGTTCATCTTGACCGCCATGCCATACCCTGCGCACGGCGACTTCTAAATCGACTCCAAAAGAGGGGAAGGGGGGGGGAGGAGTAAGGAAGCGCGCACGATGCAACAGCCTGGTTCTTTCATCTTGGTCATGCCATGCCTTGCACGCACGCCAGGGCTCTGGCTAAGGTTTTGGAAGGCCTTTCTGTCAAATGTAACTTAGGTCGTTACTGTAGACTATACTGGATTGTGCCTTAGAGGGTACAACACCCTAGTTTATATACCCTCGCGCCCGCCCCTAGCCGGCCCCCTGGCCGTCGCGCTCGTCCCTACCCGGCCCCCTGGTCGTCGCGCTCGTCCCTAGCCGGCCCCCTGGCCGTCGCGCTCGTCCCTAGCCAGCCCCCTGGCCGTCCCGTCCGCCCCTAGCCGGCCCCCTGGCCGTCGCGTCCGCCCCTAGCCGGCCCCCTGGCTGTCGCGCCCGTCCCTAGCCGGCCCCCTGGCCGTCGCGTCCGCCCCTAGCCGGCCCCTTGGCCGTCGCGCCCGTCCCTAGCCGGCCCCCTGGCCGTCGCGTCCGCCCCTAGCCGGCCCCTTGGCCGTCGCGCCCGTCCCTAGCCGGCCCCCTGGCCGTCGCGTTCGTCCCCAGCCGCCCCCCCCCTGGCCGTCGCGCCCGGTTCCTGCCGTCCCACGGCCGCCCCTAGCCGTCTCACGGCCGCCCCCTCGCCGTCGTGGCTGCCCCTAGCTGCTGTCGCTGCCATCTCCAGCCGCCTCACGGTCACTCCTGCCGTCGCGGCCGCCCCTAGCCGCCGTCGCGGCTGTCCCTGGCCGCCATCGCGGCCATGTCTCCTCGCCGTCGTGGCCGGCCCTACTCGCCGTCGCACCAGCTCCTCGCCGGCCCCCGTTGCCGCCGTTTGCTGGCCCCTCGCATCTGCCGTCTGCCGGACGGCTCTTGCATTCGCGTCGTCGCCAGCCCACCGCTGCCTCGAGTTCGGCCCGTTCTTCCCGATTAGCACCGCCCTGCGAACCCCCCCGGTACCGTACTAAACCGCCTTGCACCGCACTGTACCGCACTGCACCGCACTGTACCGGACTGCACCGCACTGTACCGCACTGCACCGCACTGCATCGCACTGCACTGCACCGCACTATACCCCGCCGCACCGCACTGTACCGCACTGCGCCGCACAGCACCGCACTGTACTGCTCTCCACTGCCCTCTATTGTCACTGATGGCGGACGTGCTTCACTTTGAGGCTGAGGGCCAGCCGATTGAGTTTGATGCGTGGCTTGCTGACCTCCGTCGCCACCTTACTGGTCAGCGGCAGGATGGCCACTCTCTGTCTCTCCATCTTGACGGTACTCTCCCCTGCCCTAACCCCCCCGCTGCATTGTCTAGTGATCCCTCGTCCGCTGAGCGTGAGTCCGCTGCGGCCGCAGCCCTTGCTCGCTCAGTATGGCTGTCTCATGACGATGTCGCACAGCTGGCTATTAGCAGTGCCCTCCCCCTGTCCGAGCGACCTCGCTTCAGGTCTATCACCACTGCCCAGGCTTTCCTAGATGCTGTTGTCCAGCGCTATTCCACCCCGCCTTCTGCCTCGGTCGGTCGTCTGATCCTCCCCATGCTCTTCCCTGACCTTGCGTCGTTCCCCACTGTCGCCGACCTGGCCGCTCACCTGCGCACTATAGACGAGACCTGGCGTGCTGCCTGCACTCCCACATAGCTTCTAGCCCACCAGCCGCCCCTCACCTCTACTCTCTACCTGCTAGCCACCCGTCTCCCTAACCGTCTTGCCACTGCCCGTGACCACTTCCTTAGCATCCACCCCGCAGACCTTACCCTCACTGACTTCGTTGACACACTGTCCGCTATAGAGGCCCGCTGCCGCTCCATCGCTCAGACCAGCGGTACTGTGCCGGTCCCTATCTTTCAGGGTTGTGCCCCCGCTCAGTGCACCTTCTCCGACGGTTCTGTTGCTGTGGCTGAGACTGCCGCTGCAGCACAGGTCCGTCCGGGGAATGGTCGCCGCCCCAAGGCTGGGCGTGGCGGCGGGGGTGGGGGTGCAGGTATAGGTGGTGGTGGAGCTGGGTCTCCTGGTGGTGGTGCAGACGAGGGGATCCTGCCAGGTGCAGCCGAGCAGCCGTCTTAGCAGCCGCCGGCGTTGCAGCCGGACTCGCGTCAGCCGCAGCAGCCGCAGTAGCCGTAGCAGTCACAGCAATCGCAACAGCTGCAGCAGTCACAGCCGCAGCAGAGACGGGCGAGTGGTCTCCCGCCCGGGTGGCCTGGCGCTGGTGGTAGTGCTGGACGTGGTGGTGGTGCGCGTGGTGGGCTGCCGGGTGGTGGTTCGGGTGACGCACGCTGTCAGTACCTGCTCCAGATTGGTCGTCGCCATGGCTTCGTCTGCGGTAAGATCGGTCACACCTCCGTCCGCTGTTTCCGTCGCCTGGACGACCTGTTTCGTCAGCGTTTCGACCCGTCGCCCGAGCTTCCAGATTGGCACAGTTTGCATCGTCGTAGGGTTCAGATTTTTTTATCTGGATATGGATGCGCTTGTTACTGCTCTGCATGTGATGTATGCTGATGACTCTAGTGTGCTTCCGTCTTATTACCCCTTGTTGCCTAGTGTAGGTGTGCCTTGCTTAGACTCCCTTGCTGCGCCAGGCGTAGGATCCCCTGCTTTGTTTAGCCTTGGTGCTTCCGTCGCTACTTCGCCTCCGGCCGCCACTGCCGCGCTCTCCTTCACCCTCGACTCTGGCGCTTCCCGGTGCTTCTTCCGCGACTCCGCGACGTTGACACAGTCTCTCTTGCTGACCCCTCCTCCGGCCCAGTAGTCGCCCGTAGTTCCACCACCTTCCCCTGCCCGCGCTTCCTGTCCCTACCACAGTCTCTCTTCCTGACCCCTCCTCCGGCCCAGTAGTCGCCCGCAGTTCCACCACCCTCCCCTGCCCGGCGGTTCCTTCGGACTCACTCACAGGACTGCACATCCCCTCGTTCTCCAGGAACCTAGTTGGTGTCGGCTGCCTTCAGGACCTTGGCGTCACCACTACGTTCCCTGGACACGAGCGGTACACTGTCTGTACCGAGGCCGCCACTGGTGCCGCCCTGTCCACATTCCCATGGGACCCGGTGTCTGGTCTTTTCACACTGGACACGGTGACCCCCCCGGCTGGGACCCCACCTCAGGTGATTGCGTCTCCCGCGGTTGCTGCTGCCTGCTCCTGTCGGTCTCTCACTCACCCGACTCTTCTCTGGCACCACCGCCTAGGTCACTCTGCACTCCCGCGTCTGCGTCACATGTCACAGCACGGTCTCGTCCTAGGCCTCCCCAGGTCATTCCCCGAGCTTCCCTCCTCCCCAGCCCCACCTTGCACGCCCTGTGTCGAGGGCCGGCTCCGCCTTGCCCCTCACTCCTCCTCGTTTCCCCCTACTGCAGCACCGCTATAGACTCTGCACATGGACGTCTGGGGCCCCGCCCTCGTCCATGGGCCGCGTCGAGAGCGCTACTTCCTAGTGCTTGTCGACGACTACACGCGCTACACCACGGTGTTTCCCCTAGAGCGGAAGGCCGACGTGCCTGCCTTTCTTATCCCGTGGCTTGTCTCTGCGCGTGTCCACCGCGGTCTCCCTGTCTTGCGTCTCCACTCCGACCGTGGTGGCGAGTTTGCCTCTGGTGTCCTTGGTCGTTTCTGCCGTGCGGAGGGCATCACCCAGACGTTCACCTTGCCAGACTCCCCGCAGCAGAATGGGGTCGCTGAGCGACGCAGCAGCCGCCGCTGTCGCAGCCGTCGCCGCAGCAGTTCGTTGCCTCTGGGGGTGCTGGAGTTCGGGTGGGTACTAGTCATGGGACTCCTATCGTGGCTTGTCCCGGCGGGCCTGGGGGTGGTACCGGTGCTCGAGGGGTTCTGAGCTCTGGGGGTGTTCCTTCTGGGGGTGCTGGCGTGGAGTGTTTTGGAGGTAGCCGCTAGGCAGCTTGCGGTCTTGGTGTCGGTGTCACACCGCCGCCGCAGCAGTCCCCGCCGGTGTCCGCTCTTCGCCCGCTCGGCCTTCCGTCCCCTGACCCCGTGCGTGTGCCTCCTCCTCCTCTTGTCTACGGCCCTGTGTTTCCTCCTCCGGACTCATCTTCGGCCCGTTTCACCCCCATTCCCCTCTTGTGTCCCCTCCTCTGTCTCCTGACCCGACTCCTCCGTCCCACGTCTAGTCTCGCCATCCCTCCCGCGCTCGACCTGTCTCCCCTGTCTCGCACTCTTACCCTATATTGCTTCGTTCCGACGCGTCTTGTCCTCCCCTTCTCCCGTCGCCCCCTCTGTCCTCCCTTGTCGTTGCTCCCCCCCCTCTGTCTGACTACCTGCGTGCCGCTCGTCCTCTTGTTCCTCGAGTCCTTGCCTCTCTCGTTACCGACCCGTCTGTTCCGGTTTCAAGCCTTGACGCTCTTGTCGCTGCAGTCACTGACTTTGCCTCTACCCGCCGCCTTGACTACGCCACCGCTCTGGTCTCTGACCCTGCCTGTCCTCTGTCTGTCGGGGGTGCTCCTTCTCTCGGTAGTGACGTCCTGGAGGACCGCCAGTACGAACTTGCTTTCCTGTCCGAGGCTGCTCGCCATC